CTCTCTCTCTCTCTCTCTCTCTCTCTCTCTCTCTCTCTCTCTCTCTCTCTCCCTATCTTTCTCAAACTCTCTTTCTCTGTCGTGTCCCGTCTCCTTTCCGCTTTTTTTAACCAACGTAAAGCCTACATTTCCATAGACAGGTGGGAAACTGTAGTGCTGAATTTAAAACACATTCAGAACTCACCTTTCTTGCAATAACATCTTGGACAAATCTGAAATGAAGTTGACAGATCAATTTAAGAGACGCTTGAAAATCTTATTTATAAAAACATAATGGCTTAGATCTTAACCAACAATGTTCAAAATGAAATGAAGTTATAAAGGATGGGCATTCTAATCCACAGTGTCATCGTATGAGTGAAACTGATATCGTTGATACAATTGATAATGCATCTTGTCCTCAAAACAGCAGCAAAGTCAGACATTTCACGTTCGTGTGTATGTGTGGGTGTTTATGTATGTGCATGTTTTTGTAAGTGTATGTTGGGGGTGGGGGTGATGTATGGTTTTATGTGGGGAGGGGAGGGGGGTGGCAGTGATCTAAATATCAAGGTAAGTCAATAACCCCCCCCCCCCCCCCCCCTCTCCACCCCGCCCTCTCAAATCCTTGAAGTACGTTAAAAGTATATTTTTCTGATGTCACAACGACCCACACGTGGTCCCACGGAGAGCAGAAACCCAGGATATCCGCAGTTGGTCAAGTTTCATTTCTCCTTGCGTCTCTCTTCACCTGTTGTCTCGTCTGTCTGTTCACCTATGCATTACTGTCAGTCGCTGTCGGTTTAGTATTTAGATTTAGGAAGAGTTTTACGACACTTGCAACACAATCAGGTCATTTAAAAGCCGAAGATTAGAGGTGTTGCAAGTCAGAGTAACAAAAAATAAAAATGAGGGAGATGAGGTCAGAACGATAGATCACTAATAGGAAAAAAGGAGCAAACTACAACAAAGAACCCGTCAACTACCTGTGGTCGCTGTCTGCTATTAGAACGACCCGTGCGTTTTATGTTTGATAGAGCCAAGCGTTCTAGAATGGTTTGTTCGTCTTGCTTTATGATAGTCCGTTCCGAATGAAGGGTCCGAGTAGACTTCTAATAATGATCTGATGGAAAGCACGTGAATAATGCGAACTTAGTTACTGAAACTGTATGGCTACGTCATCTGTTCTTCAGGCCTTACAAAAACCATTCTACAAGTCAATGTGTACGGATGACGTAGGAGAGACAGACAGAAGAAGAGCTGACAGGATAATATCCGATAATGGACAGCCATGGAGCTACAAGACACACTGAGGAAAGCAGAGAGTTCAGAAGAGTGGGTGAGATCTGTTTTCATCTGTCAGAGACGAACCATTCAATGACAAATCTACAGGAGCAGAAAAAAAGTTAGTTTTTGCTTACGGTAAACCTTCCAAAACATTTAGGGATTTGTTCCGACGAAATAAATTGCGTCTTGTTCTCTTCCCTTGACTGTCCAAACAATAAATATTGAAGCGTAAGCGGGTAGCACCAAATGCTGAGTATCTATAGCACCGATATTTTGTGCTGGGAAGAGCACTTTACATAAATTTTCTCGTTTGACTAATAATAATAATAATAGATAGCATTTGTATAGCGCATATCCCCGCTCAACAGCAGGCTCTATGCGCTTTACACTATATTATTACCCCAGCAGACCATAGAACACTCCGAAACATTCTCAGCTTCCCGAGAGGCATACAGCTAGGTTATAATATAGGAGAAGAACTTTAGATTACAGAGGTCCTGCTTCTTACATAACCTTACAGGGTTGCAGGAGGTGCAATACCTATACATTTTCGCATATTATATTTTTTTCTCAAAATCCACCTCAAAACCTGTGCAAAGATATCTCACTTCCGTGTGTTTTCCATTGAGTCTTTTGTCTGTTCAATGTAGTTGTCGGGGGATGTAGTTGTCGGGGGAGTTCCTGTCCATGTTGACTTTGCCAATGTACGCTCTTTGTCCCACACTCTCTGAAGACAGAAACGCGTTCAATTTACAGGTTACTGTACATGTACTTGTTGTTACGCCCCAATCGACACAATTTAGATCATATAGAAAATGGGCACTAAAGTGTGTGGTTGGCAGATGCTATTGTGTTGTTTGCTTCTTCTTTCCTATCATACACCAATCATCCTTATCTTTCTACCTTCGTAGTTTTTGTTACTCTCTTGTACAAGAAACATCTCAAATCTTCGGCACTTATATGACGCTATTGTGATGGAAATACCGTAAAACTGCTACTAAAATCAAAGGAGGCAGGTGTCCGATCCGATCTGGTTTGACCAATCCAGGATGAGAGGGATACTACATCCCAGATTCTCGGTGAAAATATTCTCTCCCCTCAGGGATCTAACTCAGGTCTCCTGTGTGCAACAGCAAAGTGTCTAATTGCTACACCACAGATGCCGAACATCGACAGTAATTGTGATTATCTCGCATGAGTTCAAATAATCAGTGAGGTAGAGGGAACCGAAATTGGAAACAAAACTGAGCCGTAAAAAGACATCCTGCCTCCACTGAAAAGACCCGAACTGAAGTGGTACCGACACGTCTCTGTCTATAGGAGGGGGGGGGGGGGGGGGTAAAAACACATACAGTTAAACCATTTTTATGATTTTCATCATTTTTACACATAACACTGGTCTACAAGTTAATTGTCTCGGACTAAAAACCAGTCAATTTACACTAACTTGGGGGCTCTGAATAAGTAAAAAAACGAAAATGATTTTTGATGATAGGTCTAGTTTTTTTTGATATACATGTACTTTGAGTTGACTTCCTTATTTCATATAATAAGAAGAAAGTAAAGAGCAATTGGGATCAGTGATTTCAGGCTGAAAATGAATTTCAGTATTATGGTGCGATTGTTATGAAAGTAACATCGGTTTCTGTAGGATGATGCAACCTGTTTCTTTGTTGTTTCATTGTGGTCGGTAATTTTAGTGTTCACTCAGCAGACAGAGTGTTTCAGAATCAGGAGCACACCTCATCAACGTGCAAATAATCCTGACAATTTCTGTTATATTTGCGGTGTAATAACCCGCATTACACAAAGGGGAATGATATCAATGGGCTTATCTACCACCTTCTTTTATATGCACAGTTGGTGACCAAATCAAAAGTTGGACATAAGAATGCTCCAATATCTGTGTCGTAAACCGTCGCCGCCAGTGGATGTAAAGAAAACAAAAATTAATGCCCTTTGTAGTGTTAGTGATTTGACATGAACCAAAAAGTCATGAAGACACCTGCTATTTTTATATTTCGCAACCAGTTTGAAAATGACTTTTGGGAAATTTGAAAGAGTAAAGTTGATTATCCTGAATTCCATCTTCGCAACACTCAGCGAAGATTTACCTTATCCTGCGGAGCCAGAGACAATTACTGCATTGGAGTAAGGGTAAAAGATGTCACTGAAGAACAGCGGAAGTTTCAAAAGGAAATAAACCTGATTTTCACTCAATGTTTCTATAAAGAATAGCCCAATAAATAGTATGATCACGTAAAAGGGACAGAACCACTTTCTCAGAGACTTAAAGTCTAAGCTCTAAATTGTGTCAACAGGAGGTATAAAAGAACCATCATTTAAAAAAAAAAGTTGTGACATCACAGTGATGTGACGTCATCCTCTTACCCACTATGTCCACGAGCGTGAGAGTTGACCGTACATCTATGGTGGCGTAGTAACACACGGTGGTAGAGCCAGACTTCAGGGTTCGTGTCTAACGAAGACAAAGACACGTGGGACAATAAATTGTGAGTGCTTTTATTCATTCTTTAGTTTTTGAATTCAGAACTGGAGACTTCAGATATGGATTCTATCCATAAATCCTCGCCCCTCCTCAGCAGTGTCCATCTTAGGGTATTTGTACCAATGGTCTCCATCGGTAACTAACTGCTGACTCGTCTGACAAGATTGCCAAGGTTGTTTTCTTCATTCGTTCTTTTGTTACTCATCTGGACAATCGGATCTCACTTTTTACGTATTCTTTTATACAATTCTTTGTTAAGCTTTAAAGTATGTCTGAGAAAGGGAATACAATCTGAACAACGAATTTATGTAAACACCGGCCATTTGACTATAGAAACGACGACGTTTTTCAACAATACGTACCACACACTTTTTGTAGACCTCAGTAGCATATTCGTGATTTGACGCAATTTTGGCCTCTGTTGGGTAAGTGTACTTCTTTAACCATGGCAACAACTGGAGATCACTTCCGGTTCCCATGAAGGGTAACTGAGGGGCATGAGCGTGGCTGTCTACGAATCCGGGTATGACAAACTGACTGGTGAAGAAAAATGGATGGTTCTGAAGAGGAAATCTGTATTAAAAAACTGAACCGTTATTATTATTGCGAACGAAAAGAACACTTACTGTTTTTCCAAATGGAGACACTTGTCTGGAGTTATCGAGAATTCCTTCAGCCGGTCTGCGAGGTTTTTCGTTTTGTCAATGAACACAATCTGGAGAAAATGATATGAATGAAAATAATAGTTTGTTGTTGTTTATTTTTGTTTTTTTATTTCTAAAAATGTACTTTTAGGCGTGTTAGGCTCTATTGACACAATGCGATTCATTTTAAGAGGTGGGCTTTGACCATGCCTGCCAGGGCCAGCCCGTGATGAGACAGGGACAGCGTAACAGCAGAAAGAACGAAATTTTAAAAGAAAATTCTCCTCTCAAGATAATCGAACACATGTCATCTGTATTGGAGGACAAAGCATCATGGTTGCCTATTTGAAGAACAGACACACACACACACACACACACACACACACACACACACACAGAGGAACACACACACATACATACACACACACACACACACACACACACACACACACACACACACACACACACGACACGTGCGCACGCACACACACACACACACACACACACACACACATACGCACACACATATACACACACAATATTATACAGAGAGAGAAATAAAGCGAGAGACATAGAGAGAGAGAGAGAGATAGATAGATAGATAGATAGATAGATAGATAGATAGATAGATAGATAGATAGAGGGATGTTTACCATACAGCTTGGATCAGCACTACCAAGCAGAGTCATAGTGGTCTGACTCCATAAATTAGTTATTAACTCCTTGCTTTAAAAAAAATTATTTTGTTGTTGTTTTGTTTTAGTAAGAGTGTTACGCCACTTCCAAAACTAGTAGGAAATATTGTTGCCTAGGAGTAGAGAAGTTACAAGAGAATAACAAACATAAAAGAAAGGGGCAATAGAGACGACGGATGTTTGATAGGAGAGAATAAGCAAGCCACAACACAACACCCGCCAGTCACCCACTATTGTTTCTGCGCATATATTACGTCTTAGCAGTAGTAGACCAGAGCTAAGATTGCGGCACATATCGAATTATCATAAACAAAACAGAAAAAGTTATTTACTTTATTGTATTTATGATGCTTTTTTAAGTGTCAAGTAATACACAAAAGATTTGAAAAAAATGTATAAATAAAACAAGACAAAAACTGAATATTATAACAGTCACGTTTTTAAAAGTGCCTCTCCATAATGCATTTGTCGAGCGTTATTGAATGTCCAGAATGCAAGTATTTAGTGAGTTAAGAGAGTTGATATGTGTGACAAATATTGAGTAATTATTGTACATACTATAGTATTATTCCTCCATACCTTTCCTGCCCTCACTCCAAGCGCCGTCTCCTCTAAGATCTCCACCTGTCCCAGTCCGAGAGCGTGGATAAAGGTACCCACCACCACGAGGTCGCGATCCTTTCCCTCTGAGCCGTTGCTCATTGTCGACATCATCCAGTATTTATTGTTCCTCCTTTAGAGCGTGTCCTCTGAAAGCATAAATAGGTCTTCAAAATAGGAAATTTATTTTATCATGTTTGACAACCCTTGCAGTACTGTGAAGTTACATAAGAAGCGGGACCTTCGAATTGTAACGCCCATCTCCGATAGGATTGAATTATATTGGAAAACTCGTGAAAGGTACCTTATTTCCCAAGGACACAACGTTGGAACAAGCTGAGACTCAAGCCCCTGAATTCGCAATATGACGATTAGGGGCCCGGTAGTCTATCCACGAGACTACCAACGCCATGCATTAGGAACACATCCACGGAGAATAAAGATAATATTATAGAGCGAACAGGACAAATGATATGAGGTGAGCAGAAAGATACATGCGGATTGAAACAGCTTTGGGAGATACAGGGAAGTATTAATAGACCAACATCTGCCGATATCGATAAAAAGACAAGTTTTCAAACAGTGCCGTGTCTCAAAAATAAGCTATGGGTGCCAAACCTGGTATATTACCACAAATATCATAAAGAAGTTGAGGACCACACGGGAGAGCAAAGGAAAAGAATATGTTTGCTATAAGAATACACGATCAAATAGCGCACAAAAATAAATCCAAATTCATACTACGGCTAAGCCTGGAAATGGGCTGGCCACACCGATAGAAAGAAGGATAACAGAAGGACAAATGATGTACTGAATGAAGACCAAGCACAGGAAAATGATCAAGAGGAAAACCAGAAAGAAGGTGGCAAGCTGAAATCAGAGAGTAGAGGAGAAAAACATGGACATTGAAAACATCAGATTGAATAGAATGGAGGTCATTGTTGAAGGCTTACATCCTATAGGGGATGGACAATGCATGAAAAGAAAGGAAAGTATGAATTAATAAACGTTAGTAATAATCATTATGATAAATTGCTTTGAAATTTGTATAGCCCGAATTCTCAATCAAAAACAAATTCTGTGCGATTTACAATGGGGATTACTGCCCCAGAATGACTTATAGTTTCCTGAATTAATTTCAACTTCCTAGGAAGCATGCAATGCAAGCTGCCATTTTGCAGACGCTAAATCACTAAAATACTGACAAGATATTTCGCTGTCTATGGCTGAGTACCCATTCATACCTGCTGAACTGAAAAATCTACGTTGCTTAAATAGCCAGTTCGAAGGACACAACGTTGTACCAAGCTCAGCTTCAAACCCCCAACTGGCAACCTTACGATAACCTATCCGTTAAAATCTAACTACTAGACTCCCCCGAAGCCAGAAAGAACAACACAAACGATGATTACATATTATGTTGAAGGAGTCAGTCAACAAAGAACAGTGACCAGTAGATACAAAACACAGGTTTTGATTAACTTTTCTGCGCTTTTCAGATTTTACATTAACATTACACCTTCGCATTTGATTCTTGCTAGAATTTCTCTCTTTCCAAATTTTCAATCGCACAGTTATTAAACATAATAGATACAGTAAGGCGTCAAACTGACATAAAACATTTTCATAAGATGAGTCCTGAAGTTACATGTTCAATCAAATAAAGCACCGATGTCATAAACACAGTCTCTCTCTCTCTCTCTCTCTCTCTCTCTCTCTCTCTCTCTCTCTCTCTCTCTCTCTCTCTCTCTCTCTCTCTCTCTCTCTCTCTCTCTCATTCTCTCCCGCCTTTCTCCCTGCTTGTCTGCCTGACTGCCTGTCTTTCTGTTTCTCCCACACTTATGATTCTGTCTCTCTCTCTCTGTCTCTCTCTCTCTGTCTCTCTCTCTCTGTCTCTCTCTCTCACACACACACACACACACACACACACACACACACACACACACACACACACACACACACACACACACACACACACAAACACAAAATACGTACACACATAAATATACACACACGCACACAAACACAAGACTGATCTTCGCACTCTTCTTTCACTCACCATCTCCCACCCCTTCCCCACAATCAGAAGCAAACACAAAACAACACGTATTTCAAATCCATAGCGAAGACCCCATGAAAATATTTCTCTTCACTTCAACATTGTAAAACAACAAGAAAATACCTGTTCACAAAATGTAGGTTGAAAACCCCGTACGGTCTTACAGCCGACGAATCGTAGTCAACTGACCACAGGTAATGGCGAACCGACCGGGAAAGCAACCGGCCTTCAGGAACTGACCGTGAGATCTATTACGTGACAAAGTAAATTCCTTGGCAGGCTTACATCTGGCCTGTGTAATACCCGGTGCCCACTGACAATCGGATTCATTGTTTGAATCAGTCGGGGCTAACCACATGTTCCTTCATTGATGGGGCAAAAGCTGTTATTTTGACCCGAATTCGACTAAATCCGACTGTGACCTTCAAATTAAACGTAGTTGTTTTTTCAAGTTCGCGAGTCGAATCGGTCTTACTGTCCCAAAATGGTTTCTTTTGCCCCTTTATGAATGAAAATAACATACCAACTAGCACCCATCCTCTCCCATCGAAACATCCCAGCGTAGAGCGAGAACCAACTAATCAGGTCAATCTTAACACTAACTCTCTGCTACCACTGCCAAACCTTGACTCTCAACAAAGCACAGCAAAATAGACTAACAGAATGCAAATCGTAATGTCTTAGAAAATCACTAAACATCAGAAGAGACAAACAAGGAAACAAGACACAGACACCAAGTAGGTGTAGAATCGGGCAAAACAGTCGCCAAGAGACAACAAATAAGGTGGTTTGGGCACGTAATGAGAATGAGAACCACAACATCCAGCCTCCAAGGCCTACTACGTACTACGTTGTAACGGCTTCAAAGCTAAAGGAAGACCCAGAAAAAGATGGAACGACGGGGTAACAGAGACCCTAGAAAAGAAAAACATGACAATCGAGACAGCGACACACTTGGCCCATGTCCGTGAACTACATCTCCACTCGACATCTTGTGGTATAAAAGAACAGAGAAAGTAAAAGTAAATTACTTGCAGAAAGTATGAATGAACATCAGGCTGGCCCCGACCCAGTTCGATTGAATCCGACTAGCAGTGTGCACTGGGTCTTAACAATACGCTGGACAACACCGGCAAGGGTCACAGAAACAACAAAGGTCACGAGCTTGACACTGGTCAAGGGGTCAACTATGGGTCGACCACATCAATCAGCCTAGGGTCACTCTGAAAGTCCCAAGGTCTGATTACATTTACCGCCACTTATAAACCAGAACTGATAAATAAATGCGAGCGATGTTGTAAGTAGCACGGTGCCCGAAATAAATTCGTCTTACCCTCAATGGATTCAAAACTACCCCTATGTTAGCCCTGTCAACAGTGTTTAGTTTCCGTTTTTAGTAAGATGTTCACGGCACTTGTAACACACATAGTTCGTATAAATGTCGAAGATTAAAGGGGTTATTAGAGAGCAACATAAAGAAAAGAAGGAGTAGCGGACAATGACAATTGGTGTTATGATAGAAAAGAAGGAGCAAACCACACCTGAGCCCCCGGTAACCACCCGCATTGCATTTCCAACACACATAGGTTGTATACTCGTAAGTGGTGAAGATTAGATGACTCTAGAGAGTGATTAAGTACAGGGTGAAACAAGAAAGAGAGAAAAGAAGGATAGATGTTTGATTGGGGAAGGAGGAGCACACCACACCAGAGTCTGTCAACCATCCACTGCATTTGTCAAAAACATTTTAAAAATGTGTCAAAACAAGCTTTCAAATAAACAAACAGAATGGATAGCGAGTAGTAAAGGAGAGGGCACAGCCCATAAGTACAGTACATGCTGGTTATGGTTGATGCACGTGGCAAATCCAACAAGACAGAACGTACAATTACTACACAATACCAAACATATTTACTGAAGAAGAACTTTGCAGATTGTTAATTAATCTTACACCACTTATTAAAAAGTTTAAATTATCGAGGGTGCTTACTGCTTTGACCGTGACAATTAAGACCAAGGGATACACTATCTGAAGAGAGATACAGTATCCAAACAGAATTGATCGTTTTTAAGGACAAGCGGGCTAACCCAGATTTGGGGGGTTTCCAGAAACCTTGACCTACACCAAAAGTGTGCATTGCCCAACCTACAGGAGAAGTTTGGTTTCACTGGTGTGTATATTTGTTTGGTTATAAAGAAAAGTCTTCTTGTCTTTTATAGAAACTGAACAAGGGGCAAAAACTTTACCTTCTATTTTCTCAAAACAGCATTTTTCGCAATAGCCCCCTCGTGGTAAAAAAGCGACCGATTATAGAAATACTCGATGGAATTAACTTACCCAATAGGAATCAGCTATTGTCTTTTTCTTTCGTGCAACGTCCCAGGGCCTAACCCGGACTAACCGTAACATAACAGACACTGTCGGGGGAAAATGTCAGTCTCACATAAAACGTGATTCGTGTGTTTGAATTAGAGCGTGAAAGTGAACACAGATGGCTCACCTGTTTGGCCACACTTGTCTGAATGTGTGTTCTTTTCCCCGCAGTCTTTTACGAAGGACCGAGTTTGCCACAGGCTTTTCTACCACGGCTTTCCCACAGGCTTTTCTACCACGGTTTTCATTTTATAAGCACAGGTACAGCTGTCGCGGTTGCTTGCCAAACCATGGCGATATCACTCTCCAGTGGAACATTAAAATTTGATCATTTTAGTGAGAAGTGGTGGAGATCACTCGATTAGTGACAGGTATCATTTAATGGCACGCTTTGAAATGACAGTATAATGATAAAATGTAGTTGGGTAATTCCAAAGTTTTAATAATAGATAGATAGCTTTTGTATAGAGCGAATTCTCCCTCAACAGTAAGCTCTATGTGCTTTACAATCTATATTATTACCCCGGCAGACCTGATAGCATTCTGAAACAATCTTATCTTTCTGGGAAGCATACAGTGCAAGCGGACATTTATAGACGCTAAAACACTAACATACTGACAATATCGTTCCCTGTCAATGGCTGGTTACCAATTCAAACGTGGGTGAAGTGGGAATAATTCGTGTAAAGTGCCCTTTTAGTCTCTTCAGGGTAGCA